ATTGTATAATTTGAAATTAAATATTTAATTGATTTTATAATTAGAAACAAATATAAATGAATATGTTTATGAATTTAATATGATATATGYTAGAATAATAAGTAAGAGTATGATAATCGAGAATGCCTGACTGGAAAATACTGTACTCACAGTATAGAGCCGCTATCCTTCTAGTTATTTATACATATACATAGAGACACATTCACGGGTATGCAGAGATTGAGACTTTAAACGACTTTAAATATCTTCCTAATCTAGAATATACTATATATACTTGATGGGGTCTGCCAGAGCTAACTCTGCCTTTTGCATTTACATTCCCAAAATAAATTTCTCTTCAGTTACATCTCAATTTGAAGGCATGTCGAATGAATATATCTAATATCTCAAGCACTATTCGTCGAAAGTTTCTCTTAGTCATGGCAAAATTTAAATTTACTTCAGCCTCAATTTGTTATCCGCCCAGAAAGAGCGCAACCACATCAATTAGCTGATGAGAAGCGCGACACAGATTTGCAGCTCAACAATTGGTTCATCATTGTGATCTGGCTAAAGGAAAAGATAATGAAAAAATAAGGCCCAAGCATAAATCTTTTGCACGCTCAAATGCAGCTGAAAAGAAAATTTCGACTCGCTGTTGTTTTTCCCCTTGGCTATAGTAGGCTGCCTTGCAGCTCATTTTTCACGCCAAAAAAGACGCGAAAAGAGGAGAAAAGAAAAACGAATTCTCGAAATGAGCACTGAGAAAACATTTGGATGGCAGGAGCCAACCCTTTTTATACGGTGCCAAAAGATTTTCTAATTGTCATCGTGCTTTAAACATAGCAGAAATTGTGAGTGGGGGCGGGCGGGGGCAGCGCCTTACTCATGGTTGCATTTCACTTTGCTGTGCTTGGGGGACTTGTCATTATTTATTATATTTCTCAAGTCCTTTCATTACAAAATATTTTTGTCTTTCATTTGTTGCCTTTTGTGTGTGCGAGTGCGTGTGTGTGTGTGTGTGTGTGTGTGGGTTGAATTTGTCTTGGCATTTCTCGCATTCCAAGGCGAAACCTGCTTATTTACAGTTATTCAGTTTTTTTTTTTTTTTTGGCTGCCAAGCAGAGAAAGGCTTCAAGGAAAAATGTGAAAATGTAAAACGGAAGTCGCCATATGGAAGAGCTCGACGCACTCATCATTAACCAACAGACAGACAGACAGACAGAGAGAAAGAGAAGACGCTAAATAAAAGGAATTGACAGCAGTTACAGCTCAGCTCCGACTCGTTTTCAGCCTCATTTGAGTGGATAATTAGAGAGGACCCAC